GTCTCATTCCTCCAATTGCAGGTTCCAACAGAAATGTCACAACTGATAATTTGTACACTTCTATTGAGCTCTTAGACTCACTAAAAAAAGAAGCAGTTGACGGGCGTAGGTACACTTCGAAAAAATCAAAAAGAATTCCCTCCAGAATTTTTGCCTTTCGCCACCGAAACATCGATTCTACACTTTTTGGATTTCCAAAACATTTTACTATTTCATCGTATGTTCCAAAACCAAATAAAGCAGTAATTACAATTTCAAGTATGCACCACACGCCAGATATTGAAATCTACTCAAAAGCCAGAAATTAAACTTTTCTACAACACTACGAAATACGGAGTGGATCTTCTGAAACGTGATTTAAGAAACGCTATTGGGCGCGTTCTCACGCGAAACGAGGTTGCCACTCCATCAGTTTCAAGTGGTAGCAATGCTGAAAAAAGGCTGGCAGTTCGCAAGAATTGTACAACTTGTGATTACACAAAAAAAACGCAAAACACAATAAATGTGTTTTGAATGTAAATCATCAATTTGCATTGAGTGCTTTAATAAGATGTGTTTTCGCTGCCATTTAAAAACTATAATTTCAGGGTCTGCAATTTTGTGGAAATGTTAATTTTTTTAAACTGATTTTTTTTGTTTAATTTGCTGATTATTTAGTAATTAGAAAAGAGAATTACTAGTTTCCTATAAAATGTGACTATTTTTGGAGATCTCATTTACCAAATATGTTAGTTTATAAGCAAGTAATAAGAGATGTGGATTGATTATGAAATATGAAAGACATTATTTAAAACTTAATTTTTTTCTGTGCTGTTCATGTTGTAATAAAGAATTTAAGAAATATTGAAATGAATCATAATTAAAAAATAAACCACATTTATTTTAAAACTTTAGATGAATTTAAGACCTGGGTCCCACAGACGTATGGCAGGTGATAGTGTAACAAAAATGTATGTCAAGGGTTAATTTGGAAAGTCCAAGAAAGACTGGAATTCAAAAGGATACCTAAATTTTTAACTACATCATTATACTATGGGATAAGGATACCATTAAATATAACGGGTTGAAGTTGACATTTTTTAATTTTGGAAAGCATTCTCAAACTCCCAACAATTACAGCTTGGGATTTTAAAGGGTTCACCGTCAACCCATAAGATTGTGTCCAATCGAGAATACAAGCCAGATCCTTGTTGATACATTCAACAGCTTTGGGAAGATCTTCGATGGTTGTTTGTAAATATATTTGAAGGTCATCTGCATACAAGTGGTAGAGAGAAGATATTTGGGATGTAATTGTATTAATAAAGATTGCGAATAAAAGAGGACATAAGACACTACCTTGTGGAACGCCAGTTACGGTATCAAGCCACGAAGAAAGTCTATCTTGGACACAAATTTTGTCGGCACCCATACAAATAACTATGAAACCAGGAGATTGCAGTTGGAGATATGTTTTGCTATATATTATAAATAAGTAATTAAAATTAACACATCCTATTCTTTGAGACCATGGTCCTACCCCATTCGAGCCAACGCAATTGTGCTGCAACGTTATGGTATAGCTGTAGCTTGGCTGCATCATGTAAGAGTCTAGTTATATCATGTTGGCTTACTAGGTAAATCTTGTAGAATCAATTAAGCAGATGGCAAATTTATTACAGAGAGTTTGTATCCTGATTAATGTCTATGGAGCAAGGCATTGGGATCATCATTTGTTTATTTAATAAATATTAGATACAAGAAATTCTTCTAAACCAAGTTCTCATCGACAAGCACTGAGCTGTAAACAGACTCATGATGACAATTGACAACATGAAAAATGCAAACTCTTTATTTTTCATTTCATAGGACATCAACATGTTTTTTATAACCAATATCCAATTAGTCATCCGAAAACACCAAATATTTTGTTGTCACCTAAAGTAAATATTACTACGTAATTAGGTCCATGACAGCTAGAGAGGGAACATTGGAATGGTGATTGGTCACTACAGGAAGTGCGGGGAGAAAAAGGCAGAGTGCGAGCACCGAAACTGCATTCTTGTCATGTGCCTAATTGTTTAACCCTAGATTACTACTCTACGTCGCAGAGGCACCCGTGATTTTGATATATTGCTCTCTCTTTTTATCCTTCGCGCGTATGGCATTCACGTTCAAGGACATATCAGTCGTCGCCAGCACGTGTCGCAGGACGGTGATTGCGTTACTATAAGTGTGCTAGTTTTTTTTTGATATTACTACCTTTGGCCTCCAAAGACGTATAAGTAGCTTGTACGTAAGTTTTGCGCTATTAATCAAATTATTTTGTTAGTGTTTTTTTTTTGCATTATTAGTTAGTACTGGTGTGTTTTATATTTTTTTGGATACTTTTTAAAACTTCAACATCATGACTAGTAATAGAAGAGTTACGGATGATATGATAGCTGATTGGCTAGAAGAAAGCGATCATAACAGTAATGATAACTTTTCGGGAGATGACTCTGAAATTGAAGATCACGTAAGCGATGAAGATGCTCAGGACGATGTAGAAGAAGGATACATAGAAGACGAAACTATAGCTGAAGAATCTGCGCCATCTTTTGGCCCAGAAAATAGTGAGACTTTGGAGCCATTCAGTTCTGATCACCGTATCCTTGTCCCGGCGCGTCGAACATTGAAGGGCAAAAACCAGCACTGTTGATCTACTTCTAAAGGTGAAAGTCGAGGTAGAACCACTGCTAGAAACATTGTGCACACTTCTAGAGGCCCAACTAGGATGTGTAGAAATATCTTTGAGCCTAGTTTGTGTTTTGATTTATTCATCACGGAAGACATTGTTCGTGAGATAGTGAAGTGGACAAATGTGGAAATATCTAGAAAAAGACCTATTGGAAATACCCATGCTACCTGCAGAGATTCATGCTCCATAGAAGTTAGAGCCTATTTTGGTATTTTGACGCTAACTGCTGCAATGAAAGATAACCACCTAAGTGCAACTGAGCTATTTGATAGCACCTTTTCAGGGTCTAGGTATTTAGCAGTTATGAGCAGGGAGCGTTTCAACTTTCTCACGCGTTGTTTGAGAATGGATGACAAGACTTTGCGTCCTGCCCTACGTCAAGAAGATCCCTTTATTCCAGCCAGGAAGATATGGGAGATGTTTATACAGCAGTGCAAGTCTAACTACACACCGGGAAACTACCTTACAATTGATGAACAGTTGGTTGGATTTCGAGGCAGGTGTCCCTTTCGAATGTACATTCCGAATAAACCCAACAAGTACGGGATCAAAATACCTATGATGTGTGACAATGGTACGAAATATATGGTTAACGCTTTGCCATATATTGGAAGAGCCACCGACACCGGAGGATTACCTCAAGGAGAGTACTACGTAAAGGAATTGAGCTGTCCTATACATGGTACTAATCGTAACGTGACATGTGATAATTGGTTCACGTCTGTATCGCTGGCCAAATCACTACTTGCTGAACCATACAAACTCACACTTGTTGGTACGATAAGATCTAACAAACGGGAAATTCCTCAAGAAATGAAAAACACCCGGCGTCGACCTGTTGGTACATCCATGTTCGCCTATGATGGCCCTTTGACTTTGATTTCCTACAAACCAAAACCAGCTAAAATGGTGTTCCTGTTATCTTCGTGCGACGAAAAAGGGCTCATAAATAATGAAACTGGAAAGCCGGAGATGATTATGTTCTACAACCAGACCAAAGGTGGTGTAGATACATTGGACCAAATGACTTCATCTATGTCATGCTCTAGAAAGACTAAAGTAAAGTAAAGTTACAGCCTATATACGTGCCACTGCTGGGCACAGGCCTCCCCCTCATTTCTGAGAGGGGTTTTAGGGCAAGGAAGTGTCCGCCGCGCTGCCCCAATGCGTGTTGGCGAACTTCACATGTCTTCGAAATATTTTTTTTTCTTATTCCTCAGACATGCAGGTTTCCTCACGATGTTTTCCTTCACCGCCGAGCACGTCGTAAATCAGCACTTAAAATTGCAAGTAACAATTTCATTGGTGCCGGCGGGGCTCGAACCCGGTTTACTCGCGTTCTGTTATATTTACAGCGAGCGTTAACCATCTGAGCTACCACGGCTCTTGAAACTACGGCTCTCGAAACACGGCTCTAGAAAGACTAACCGATGGCCAATGGTTATTTTGTATGACATGCTAAATATATCTTTCGTGAATTCGTATGTTATATATTGTCATAATATATCAACAAAAAATGAAAAACCCCTAAGTAGAAGACAATTTATGAAAAAACTTAGCACGCAGTTGACTACTGAATGGATGCAAAAAAGACTAGAAGCACCTACGTTGAAACGCAATATCCGTGATATTATTGAAGTCATCCTGAAAAAACCTTCCGATGGCTCTTCTGTAGAATATGAGGGTCCACCGCCGCCAAAAAAAGAAGGTATTGCTCCTATTGTACATCTAAAAAGAAGAGGATGTCCAAAATGACGTGCGCCAAGTGTCAAAAATCTATCTGCGGCGAACATCAAGTTCATGTATGTATCGAATGCATCTAAAATACTTTTTTTTGTTACTTTGTTAGTTTTTTTAGTTAATTGCTTTATAATTTACTATTTTTTATGCTAAATGTACACTTTAATTAGTAATTTTTTTAATTTTTAATGAGAAGACTGTTCAATTGTCAGAGTTCCTAAAATTTGTTCCTAAGATCTACTTGATTAAAGATTTTATAATGAAAATATATAAATATTATTTTAAATTGTGTTTTTCTCTTTTTTAGTAATACACACAATTATATAAACAGTCAATATATCAACAACATTTATACGTTTTGAATAAAATCATTAGTCAATATGATGCGCCTGCGGGGCGTAAGAGTAGTTTCTTTGTACGTCGCAACATGAGTAGTAATGTAGGGTTAAGCCAAGTTGTTCTAAAATAATTACAAAAACTGATATGGATATACCTTACTGAATCAGCAATTTCAAATGCATTTGTAGCCCTCTTTTACTCATCATCTTCCAATAGTGGTCTTTAAGTCTAATGACGAGCACAATGTGCCACATTGAGATGTAACCAATGTTACTGATATGTCTTTTCTTCCATCAACATATATTAGGGCTTGTTCAAATTCCTTAAGAACCTATAAATACAATTAATTTTTGTAACTATTATTATATAAAATACTATATTACAAATTATTTAGAAATGTATCAATTATCAAGTAGTAATACATTTTATAATAATAAACAATTTAATTTTTTTTGACTTATTTAATATTATAACATGTGTACAAAAAAGGCTCTCCAGTTCTCTATACTCACTATACGAAACACAGCAGCAATAAGCTGCTATTTTACACTGCTGTTCTTTGAGAGAATGGTCCTACCCCGATCGAGCGACACATTAGTGCTGGAACCATAATATAGCTGCAGCTTGTTTCTACCACATAAGAGTTTTGTTATCTTTGCAGTTTTATTTTGAAGTTTGAGGATAGCTCAGCATGATGTTAAAAAACTTGGGTTAAACAAGTTTAAAAATCTAACAATTTATGTCTTTGCACAGTCTCTAAGTTTTGAACTAATCATGCTAGTTCAAACATTTAAAAAAATCCCAGATCCTCTCTGTTTTCTATCATTAGTTGTAGGCCTTTCTGAAAGAGTCAATTGACACTTTTATTTGAGGATTTGCTTAAATACTTGCAAAATGCTGGACAGTAAGTTTGCAGAAGAGAAATGTGTTATATCAAAATATCCCTAAAATTCTGAATATTTTTCCACCATAAGTTGGTTCCAATAGTTATGTTTATTAATAAGCAGAGACTGCTCTAATGTAGGTAAGGCTAATATTTGGAGCAAAAGTTGATATATTCCCATCACATGAAACCCACATCCTTCCACATTCTATAATATAACCTTGTTTATTTTATACATTATGTTCTCAGGAGTATTTTTGCTTATAATAGGTTTACTAAAACTAATATTATTTCACTTACACTAGTGAAGGATAATATTCAAACAAACCTCAATGTTATATCTAGGTCCTTTCTGAATAGTGATTTCAGCTAATCTTTGATCAATATTTATTGTTAAATACTTAAAATTTATATCAACATCTTTTTTTGATGCGAATGATTCTTTGACCTTCTTTTGCTTTGGTGGCTTATTATTTTTGCTGTTTTCTCGTTTGCGTTTATTTAAGGCAAGGGATAATTTTGAGTTAAGCTTCTCCTCCCTATTAATAATGTCACTGTTAGTTATATTTATAGGATCAGCCATAAATGTGTCTGATGTTTTTTTTTATTATCATCTGAAGTTTTGTTTCCCTTTTCTACTATTAGTGAAGTCCTTGCAGTGTTTTGTGTGCCACCTGAATCTACATCACTAAGCCGCCTAGGACTCATACAAGTGCTGGAATAGGAACTAGATGAATGTCGTCGATATATAATTGAATCATCTGCACTATGAGTCTCAAAATCCTCACAAACAGAACTGCTTAAAGATGCTCTGTGCTTTCCACTTAAAATCTTTTTTGCCTCTCCATCTTCATATTTAGATGAATCTTTCTTTCGTTCCCGGAACTCCATTTCTTTGCTTTCAGGAGTAGAGCTTTGAAACTTTTCAATAAATTCTGCTTTGGTTCTTACATTCTTCTTACCCTTTGGAGCTTCTGGAGTTAGCTGGTAACTGGTATATCATATTGACAGCACCTTCATCCATCAGAAGCCTATCAACCTCTGATAACCTTTTAATTTGCTTTACATTTTTTGGTGATGGCTTCTTCCATTGCAACTTAGATATAGGAGACTTTGACTTCGATCTCACTATAGTTAAATCAGTCTTTCCTTTCTTATATAGTGGAGACTCTTTTTCAGTGTTTATTTCCTTATAGCTTTACTTTTTGTAAATGTGTCAGGATTATCTGGATCAAAAATTACTTTTTTCTCAATGATTCTCCCTAGTCTTCTTTGTGGTTGACCTTCATCTCCACTCTTATTAGATTTTTGGCTGTGATCTTCACTTGTCGCAGAATCAATGGAAGTTCTTATAAATTCTGCCTAAGCTGTTACTGCTATTTGGACTTTTTTAAGTTCATCAGAGGTCTTTAAAAGGGAGTTTGGCTCTTTAAGCAATTTAGCAGACTTGTCTGTTTCTGAAGTTTCTTCATCATCCCAATCCTTTACTAAAACATTAATAATGCTATCAGATTTGCTTTCTACTTTCTTTTCAATTTTCTTTTTACTATTTTTCAAATGTGTGAGTTGTCGTAAAGCTAACTGTGCTTCTAAGATTTAGAATTAATAGTATTCATCTCCAGCTATTCATTCAACTACTTCTTTGTCAGAAGATTTTACATCATTTCCTTGCAAAATATCTAACAGTTCCTCTTTGTTAAAGACTTCTTGCCGCCCAGTACAATTGTTACTTTCCACATGATCATTGACATCAGATGATCTTGAGGCTTCACTTAGTTCTATACTTTGCCCCAATTCACTCAAAATATTATTAGTAGCATGTTCATCAGAGTTTGTGCCATATAAGTCATTTTCATTAATATCATGATCATTTTTTTCAACTAGTATTTCAGTCTTAAACTTGACTTTATCTTTATTGGATGAATCTGTATGATTTACTTGAACTGCTAATATTTCTTTACTTAATTGTAATACTGATGTCTCTTCTTTATTAACTTCAACTGACGATGATTCTGTATTAGAAACTTCTATAACAGATTCAGTTGACTGAATTTCAATTTCATAGTAGATTTTTTATCCAAGTTTTTGACTATGATTTCCGTATTCAGTTCATTTGTTTGATCCATTCTTTTTTCCCTATTATGATCAGATTGGCTAGAAATGTTTTCATTTATAGCTACTGTGTCAGGACCTTGGACAGCCGCTATTTTCTGGGACGTTTCTATCTCATATGTTTCAACAGTTACTTCATTACTTTCTTCTAGATCAATTCGACGCTTTCTTGTGTAATTACCATTTCTGTTATAACATTGTCTTCTTTAGCCTGTCCAGCTTTACAAATATCGACGACACCGTTCGATTTGTGACACACATCCACTGCTATGCACTCTATAGTTCCTTCGATGACAACATTGTTTTTTACTTGATCAATAGATGCGTTTAATTCAGGTGTTTCTTCTATAACTACCATTTTGCGACTAATTCTTACTCGACACTAAGACTTACAGATAAACTTTAAACAGGTTTACCTAATATGTTGATAAATAAATCAATTAAAGGCAATTTTAACTTTAAAAGTTGAAAACATGTCGAGGATTACATTACTCCACCATTAAATATATTTCAGTTCATAACTAGCGTAAGCAATAAATTGTAATGGAATATCAACTAAATAAAACAAGCCTTTCTTTCTTCTTTATTAACTGGCTTTACGGCTCTGGTTTTTATACCTTCTGAGCCTATCCTTTCTTTGGGAATCATCATTTTATGTTTTTTTTCTTCACAATATGCTGATGCGTCACATTGCGAAGCCCTTGGGAGATTTTGACGACAGCTCAACCTAGCGGACAGTTGATGACGAAAGCCACTCAAGTTCATGAGGCGCCCAAGCGATCAAAATAACTTGAGGTTTATATCGACATCAAAGCACTTGTTTCGTCGTTTTCTCTAATAGTTCACACGCGCGGACACTTAATTCACAAAATCGCATCACTTTTACGAATCAAAATCCACTTCAAACCATTATTCAAGCGACAAAACAGGAGCGACAATCCGTCTACGGCCAAGTTCCCGCCAAAACTCCATGAAAGTGAAACGCTACATATTTATTTATCATGAAGTGAAAAGCGATCCACTTCATACCACTGATTTTTTCAGTGCGTCGTTTATTTTATTATATGGCTTTACGGCTCTGGGTTCTAGCCCTTCTGAGCCCATCATTTCTTTCGGAATCTTTATTTTTATATTCTTTTTCTTCACAATATTGTGATACGTCACATTGCAAAGCCCTTGGGAGATTTTGAAGACAGCTCAATCCAGCGGACAGTTGATGACGACAGCCACTCAAGTTCATAAGGCGCCATAGCGACCAAAATAACTTGAGGTTTATATCGACATGAAAACACTTGTTTCGTCGTTTTCTCTAATATTTCACAAGCGCGGACACTTAATTCACAAAATCGCATCACTTTACGAATCAAAATCCATTTCAAACCATTATTCAAGCTACTAAACAGGAGCGACAATCCGACTACGGCCAAGTTCCCGCCAAAACTCCTCAGTCCGTCGTCGTCTACGTTATTACACTTATTAGTTTGTGGTCGTCGTCCATTTAGTTCATTCCATAATTTTTATTGACTTTCAAAAAGATAGTTTTAGTTTTTCTAGAATATTATATTTTGCTGAAAATACCAACTTCACATACTAACATTACAGACTTATTATACTACTGCGTATAACTTATTTATATGTTGATATAGAAGCTATGATTATTTATTTGAAAATATTGATGTTCAAAATACTTACAAGTGTGTTGACTTACAAAAAATTAATTTTCATTATTTGAGTATTATTTACTATCATTTAATCAGAAAACACTTGATTGAAATACTATTTAACTAAGTGGTCCTATATTTGGTTAATTAGGTTAATAATATTCTAATAATAATTTGAGTAATAATAATTAAATAAATGTTCCTATTAATGAATTAATCGAAGGTATTGCCATGATGAAGAAAGTCAACAAGGGGCAACAACCAAAATAATTTGTTATTTAGAATTTTACAATATCTACCTAAGTTACTTAAGAATATTTTGACTGTGATAATTAATCTATTAATAGACCTCGTAGCCTTAGCGTTATTGCTGTCATAAAAAAGGAGTTGAATTGAGTGGTTATTGGTCTCTCTCGAATGCGTGGGGTTTTTACGGGGCTTTCGAGAAGATGATCACTCCCTTTCTAACCTGTGGCAAAATGTTCTATAATGAGATATAACTATGATTGTTTATATAACAATTAGTATAGAGCGAAAAAGGCAGGCTTTCGGTATGAAGTTAGTCGGGGCGCGCGGGCGATAAGTTTGCAAGTTTACTTCACATTTCAATGTTTACTCCGTGTGTTTAGCTTGAGCAAATGAATATTGTGAGTTGAAAATGTATGCTTTTTTAAAGATTTTTAGTGAAAATGAAGAATAGTGTTCCTTGTGATGACTTGAAGTGTGTTAAAGTGCTTATCGGCGAGGAAAAGGTAAAATATTTGAACTTTGTTGAGAATTATCGCAATTGAAAACCAGTTATTGGTACAATTGAAACGTTCACCAACATTTTATGTGGACGTAATCAAATCTTTCCTTAAAAGAGATCATCATCATCTACAGCCCTTCAAAAGTCCACTGCTGAACATAGGCCTCCCCAAAGGTATGCCACAAAGCATGGTCCTGAGCCACCTGCATCCATCGACTTCCTGCATGTCTTACCAGGTCGTCACTCCATCTAGTGGGGGGTCGCCCTACACTTCGCCTACCGATACGGGGCTGCCACTCGAGAAGCTTTTTTCCCCAACGGTTGTCGGTTCTTCGAGCTATATGGCCGGTCCATTGCCACTTCAGCTTACTAGTCCATTGGGCTATGTCGGTCACTCTGGTTTTACTGCGGATATCCTCATTTCTGAGTCTATCACGCAGAGAAACTCCGAGCATAGCCCTCTCCATAGCTCGTTGAGCGACCTTGAGCGTCCTCATACGGCCAGCAGTGAAGGACCGCGTCTCAGATCCGTAAGTCATCACTGGCAACACGCACTAGTTATACACTTTAGTTTTCAGAGATCGTAATTTCCCGAACGCTGCCCAGCCGAGTTGAAACCGTCGATTGACCTCTCGGTCGAAGTTGGACTTACCTAGTCGGACTATTTGTCCCAGGTAAACGTACTCGTCAACAACTTCGAGCATAGTGATCCCAACAACTACCGGCATAGGTGTGACACGGACATTAAACATGATCTTTGTTTTGTCCATGTTCATCTCAAGACCTATCCGTTGGGAGACACCATTGAGGTCATTGAGCATAGTGCTAAGGTCCTCCAGCGATTCTGCCATAAGGACTATTTGGTCGGCAAATCGAAGGTGAGTGATGTACTCGCCATTGATGTTAATACCGTATCCTTTCCAGTCCAGTAGCTTGAAAACGTCTTCCAACGCAGCGGTGAAGAGTTTCGGGGATATAACATCACCCTGTCTTACACCTCTCTGCAGTGGGATAGGTTTCGAACTCTAGTTCTGTACTCGGATAGCCATCGTAGCCCTACTGTACAAACACTTCAGCACTTCGATATACCGACAGTCAACTTGGCACCGCTGAAGGGACTGTAGCACCGCCCAAATTTCGACGGAATCAAAGGCTTTCTCATAGTCCACATATGCCAGGCAAAGTGGCAAATTATACTCTTCGGTTTTCTGTACAATCTGCTGCAGGGTATGTATGTGGTCTATGGTACTGAAGCCTTTTCAGAAACCGGCTTGTTCGGGAGGCTGGAAGTCGTCGAGTCTGCGTGCGAGACGATTCGTAATGACTCTCGAAAACAGCACGTAGACGCGGCTCAGAAGGGAAATCGGTCTGTAGTTTTTCAAGAGAGCGTTGTTGCCTTTCTTAAAGAACAAGACCACCACGCTTCTGCTCCACGCCTCCGGAGTAGTGCCACCATGGAGGACGGAATTGAAGAGCTTCTGAAGGACTTCAAGTACCGGTGTTCCACCCGCTTTCAGAAGCTCCGCTGTAATTCCATCCTCTCCCGGGACCTTGCCGTTTTTAATCTCGCTCAGACTGACGTCCGAGATAAGTTCGGAATAGTATCGGATAAGACTCTTGGATCGTTACTCACACTTGTGTGTGGCTCCAACGATGATGTGTACAGCTGCCCATAGAACCTCTCAATCTCACTCAAAATCTCAGGTGTTCCGGAAATGATGTGGCCACACTCAGTCTTCAGCTTTGACAGTTGGCTCTTTCTGGCAGACAGATCTCTGGCAAAGACTTTGTAGCCCTGGTTCCGCTCGATCGCTTCTTTAATACGAGCAGTATTAAAGTTGCGTGAGTCTCGCCGCATGCATTTGGAGATCTGTCTGTTCAGTTGCCTGTATGCTGTCAAATCTGTTGACAATTGCAGCCTCATCTCCCGTCTAACAGCCATGTGTTAAGAGTGTGATCGGAGAGTTTTTGTGTTCTTCTGCGGTGGGTCTTGCAGAACTTAGCTCCGACCGCATGGACAGTTTCCACGAGCTTGTCATTCATATCGTCCACTGCATTGCAATCTTCTAGGCACTGAAAGCGGTTACGTAACTCGAGCTGAAAGGTTTCGGGATTCTGGATTAGAGCACGAGGGGAACGGAGCGTTGACTTCATTAGACGAGACCTCTCCAACTTAACGTTTAGGTTCAGTGTGCCTCTAACCATTCGGTGATCGCTGCCAGTTTTCACTCTTGCGATCACTGAGACATCACTGAACAGTTGGCGTCTGGTCGTCATAATGAAGTCAATCTCATTTTTTGTCGAACCGTCGGGGCTCGACCAGGTCCACTTCCTGTGGGGCCGCTTCTGAAAGAATGGGTTCATCATAAAGAGTCCCTCTTTCTCCATAAAGTCGGCCAGCTGCTGGCCCCTTCGGTTCCGTTGCCCTACTCCAAATTTCCCTACCTTCAGCCCACCTCTTTCTCTTGTTTTCCTAGTTTTGCGTTGTAAGAGAGATAGACGATTCGATTTAGAATATAAATAATTTGTTTTTTTATTTGGTACATAGTTTGTTTGTACGTTGTTCATGCTTTTCATTGTTCACGTATTGTACTGTATGTAAATATCTTTTTCTTTCGCTCAAGCAAAACTAAACGGCTTTTTTCAAAGCCACCGAAGGTATTCAATTGCTAATATGACTTCTTTTGTCCAAATTTCGCACTCTTATTTGGTATCCACTGTGACTTGTACTCACGTGTGTACTCCGCGCGAAAGTCACCGACGAACAGATTGAAATTGACACAATTGTGCTACACACACGGCAGCGGCAACTATGATTTAGGGAGCAAGGAAGGTCTTACGCCACTGCCGTCTTTTTTTTATAGAATATGGGTGGCAAACGAGCACACAGTCCACCTGATGGCAAGTGGATGCTGTGGCCCATAGAAATCTACATTTATCCTCGATTAA